TGTCCTATGAGTCCACTGATGATGAGGAGCGCCAGTGTTCGTCAGGGTCAGTGCCCGTGGTCAGCGCCTTCTGAGAATGCGCACGAGCATGGAGCTTTTGGTCTGATCTTTAAATATCCTTGCGTTTATTTTGAGCGATCGCTTTGACGTCACACTCCCTTAAATAGATGTACGGGTGTCCACTCTCGGTGCCGAGGCTCGCGGTTGCTGGCCTGGTGGGACATGTTACTGTTTAAGGCAGAGAAACGGCTGTTGCTCCGGGGGGGAGCGCGGTGAGGGAGCTGGGGGGGCAGACCTGGATGCCCATCTTGGGCCTCCGTGCAGTTTCAGTCCTTCAGGCTGACCCGGGAAGGCAGCTGGGAGGAGGCAGCGCGATGCCGCCCTCTGTCCTCTGGTTGGGGTGCCGGCCCAGGTGTCCGCAGTCAGGGCAGGCTGCAAGAGCGCAGGGCTGGAATGCCAAGGGCCAAGGGCCGGAGGGTGAAAGGACCTTGCTCCCACGCCCTTACCTTCCACTGGGGTTTCAGTTAGTTATGGCCTGAAGATATGCCTGGATATACATGTCGCCTAAAGCCAGAATCTGTCGAGAGCAGGAAATCTCGCGGAGTGAGGCAGTTCAGCAGAGCAGCTCAGCCATGAGTGAGAAGCAGCAGGGTGGATGGGGCAGGACGGCGGACCAGGATGAGAGGCATTTGGCAGGTGTGATCCGTGCTACTCACAGACCCGGGGCTGTTCTCACGCTTGTCTGTGTTTAGGGACACTTTGGCGGTGATGTGAGAAACATCAGATGTCCTGTGTGGCCTAGGTAAAAGTCTGAAATGTACGTAGCAGCAACTAGGTGATGAGCAAGGGATAGATTTGAGAAAATCCTCGTGAAGGTTTTGTCATCAGGAAAAGGTTCATTTCTTTGGGCTTAACCCAGTTTTGACGAGGGATTGGTGTTTGCCATTCCAAGTGCGGACTCAGGAATTGAGGTAGGTCCTCAGTGGTGTTACACAGCATGCTGCCTTTGGAGGCCGTAACTCTGACTTGTTGCTGCCTTTGCTCCCGTGCACGAAAGCAAACGTCATCCTAGGGTAGCTCTGAAAAATAAGGGGACAGGCCATGTAACTGCTAATTTCTGTGAGCATTTAAATCACTCTCCAAATTCAGACTCATTTAGAATTAGTTCCATCAGTGGTACACATTTCCATGTACAGTTCTGTGTGAGAAAACATGTTCTGGAGCTGCGAATTTAAAAATAACATGCTCGGCCTTCCCTGGTGGCGCAGCGGGTTAAGCACTGCACTGAGGAGCTAAAGCCACTTCCGCATGAGTTCGATTCCCGCCTGCCCCGGAGGTGACCCCATGGCGTGGCAGACCTCTCCTGACCCGCCCGCTGCTCTCCTCAGCAGTGTATTTCGTCGATCTGCCTGTTCTGCTCCCCACTCTGTCTCTGGTGAAGCCTCTCACTGCTCCTGAGCCTCTGGCCTGTACCCCAGTTCTGTATGTACAAATAAATCTTTAAAAAAAAAAAAAAAACATGCTCACTGGCATTCTCGGGGGCCTGTTTATCACCGATTCACTCTGAGTCGTGTAAGGGGAAAGATGAGAATGTGTGTTAATGAGCAGCATGAGGCTGCATCTCTGTGGAACAGGTGAAGAATGGTTAGAGTGCGGGGTGAGGTTTCAGCCTCCCCACTCACCAGCTGTCCATCTCGGGAACTTCCCAGAGCCCTGTGCCTGTTGCCCCATTGCTCAGTAGGAAGCCTCATACTTAGTACCCACTGCACAGGTTCCTGAGCATCAGATGACCCTCTACATGCACAGCATTAAAGTGATCCTCACGGGCCTCCCTGGGGGCACAGAGGTTAAAGACGGCTATCAAACTATCCCCAGCCACTGTGACCCCAGTGCGCAGCAGACCTCTCCTGTCTCCCCACTGCTCCCTCAGCAGTGGGTTTCAGGGGATCTGCCTGTTCTGCTCCCCACTCTGCTGAATCCTCTCACCCCCCTGCATCTCTGACCTCCACCCCAGTTCTTGCATGCATAAATCTTAAAAAAAAAAAAAGAAAAAAAGATACTCGAGACCTAGTAGTGAGTACATGGTGTTTAATATGGCCTGTTTGTACACAAGCCTAATGCATGGAACCTGGGTTTGCATAAATTCTGTCTTTATAGAAGAGTCGGTGCCAGGTTTGTGGCCAGGTTTGTTGAAATAGTAAGTGTCTCGGTTTCATTCAGAATTGGAATACCTTTTTAGAAATATCTATTTTGGAAAATAAGGTAATAACAGTTCCTTTAATTGTTATAACTTTAAATTATCCTAATAGAAGAATCATCCCAGATTTTAATTGGCCCTATTGAAAAAAGCAACATGTTTTTGTTGCCTTTCAGCCTTTCAGCTGAATAGCTCACTGGCATGTGGAAACGTCGCAGAAACATCGCAGTGAATGTAGTAAAGGTCTTGGCCTTTGTTTTTTTATTTTTAAGATTTTTATTTACTTATGCACACAGAACTGGGGTACAGGCCAGAGGTGCAGGGACGGTGAGAGGATCCACCAGAGACAGAGTTGGGAGCACAACAGGCCGACTCACAAAGGACACTGCTGAGGGGAGCTGCGGGGAGACAGGAGAGGTCTGCTGCACCCTGGGGGTCACCTCCGGGGCGGGGGATCGAACTTGCACTGAAGCGGTTGTAGCCAGCTTGCAGTGCTGCATCCTAACCCATTGGGTCACCAGGGAGGGCCGGTGACCTATTTTTGGAAACAGTTGGGATCTGTTCCCACCACTGGAGAAAGACATGCGATGATCTCTCAGTAGGGCTCTAGATAAGCTTGTTGCTCTGCAACTTTGAAAATGGGCAGTGAGAGATGGAAAAAGGCACAAAATGATGTAAAAAATAAACATTATTTTTTAAAAAATGGGCGATGAAAAATAGGACAAATCTTTCTCTTCTGTCTTTCTAATCACAAAATATTAATGTAACCCTTCCCATTAGAGCCCAGGTGGGAAAAGATGAGCCATTTGCATGACATGACACTTAGCTCTTTTCTGAAAACACTGCTTCTCTCATTCTTCAGGGTATTTAGTTATGATGCAGGTTTGCTGCGTGTAGAATTTATTGGCATAAATAAGGTTTCTGGCACACCCTGGCATGGGCGTCGTACTTCATCTCTAAAGCTTCGTCTGTCAGGTTAAGTTAAGATCAGTAATTCGGAAGCTTTTCTTGTCATTGCCATTGAGGGCCTAGCGCTTGCCTGACACCACGCCAGGCCTTTATGAGCCTCTCACATGGCTTTCACAGTTGTCCTGTGAGGTATAGATCCACATGCAGTTAAGGCCGCCCATACTCAAGCACTTAAGCCACTTTTTGGAACTAGCTTCGGCTCACGACACTGTGCATGGTTAGGGATCTAGGGTCACTCCTTAGGTGTTGCCACACCGCCCACCACCAGTGTCCCGGGACCTCCCCGTGTGCCCCATCCCCTCTGGAAACCTCAGCTCTATCAGGTTTCTAGGGTGGTTGGCTGTGCTGAACCTGTTTCCATGCCCTGTTCCTCACAAGTGCCTCATCCGGTATCTGCCCTCATGTGTCACTTAGCCCAGTGCCCTGCAGCTCCACTTGTGGTGTACCACGCCACATCTTCCTGCTCCGCCCTCCGCCTTCCCCGGCATTTGGGCTGTCCACAGGGTGGCTGCGAAGCAGCGCACAGGTCCCCTCTACTTGGAGTTGTGCGTCCCTGGATGGATGCCCCGAAGGAGTGGTTAAGCAATGACTGAGCCTTGCGTCCTCTGAGATGCCTCCGCACTGCTCTCATAGGGATTGTTAAGGGGAAGGATGCCCTAAAGGAACTGCAGGGTCTTATGGACCCCATCCCCTATTCCAGCTTTCTGGACTCTGCTCCGTACTCCAGCGATTGGAAACTACAACTCCCAGCAGTGCCAGGAAGAGAGCTGCGAGGACCCCAGGGCGGAGCTAGCAGGAATTCTGGGACATTTGGGGGATATATAGGGCGCAATTGCATCTCCCGCTCTCTTGCTTGGGAAGCAGCTCTCCTAACCATGTGACTCGGCGTGTTCAGTCAGCCGAGCCATAAGGTATTCCACTTACTTTGTATCCTGCTCTCTTTTCCCTGGGTTGTTTCCTGTTCCTTTCCCCTTTTGTAAATCAACCCGTTATTGGCCCTTTTGTGTGTCCCTGAAGTGTAACTGAGTTGTGAGCGCACGAGTGACGCCCACAGACAGGCGGCCCAGTCCATTCTGGGCTACCCTGTAACAGGGTAACCAGCCTGCACCCATCAGTCGTGGGCCCCGTCTTTCTCCCTGAGCTCACTCACACTCTGCCTCACCCACTGGGCCATTCTCAGGGCTGTGAGGTGGCATTTCACTGTGGTTTCAATTTGCATTTCCCTAAGTGATGATCAGCAGAGGTTAAATTGATTTTACAGTGTAAAAGAACCAGGATTCTTAGTCTTGTGGTGGCCTCGGGGTTGTCTCAGCATCACATCCTAACCAGAACCCAAACCCTAACCTCTCACTCCTAACCTTAACCATATTGCCAGCTGCCCCCTCAGCATTGTACTTCAGTGGATCCACCGGTTCTGCTCCCTACTCTGTCTCTGTGGAGTCCTCTAACCCTCCCCCCGCCCCCCATATTTCTGGTCTACATCCGAGTTCTATGCAAAAACCAAATTCAAGTGGTTTTAAATATGGCCTGACGTGCAGGGCCTCTGCTCTGTGGTTCATGCTGTGTTGCCTCTCCAAAGGGCACTTACCATGCACGTCTTGTTGTGTTTACAGCATGTGCGAGTGTGGATACGTCATGTGGGACAGGAAGGCTGCACTGAGCTCGTAGCAGTGGTCCTCTCGGTGTGGTTGAGTTTATAGGCACTTAAAACACTTTTTTCTTTGAATTTTCTACAAGTGTGAACATACACTATTTTGTAAATTGGTTTTGTGTTACATATTGAACTTAACAGTAGTCGGGACATGGTATCTGATTTGTTACTGCTTATTTCTAGATCAGTTGGCCTTACCACCTCAGCGGTCGTCTAGTCATTATGACGTGGTTGTTGGTGTGCTGTCGGCTCGCAATAACCATGAACTTCGGAGTGTGATAAGAAGCACCTGGCTGAGGCATTTGCTGCAACACCCAGCACTAAGTCGACGGTAGGTGTCTGTGTGGCGCCTGGCTTCTGAGCATGAGTCCTGAAACACTCTGCAGTCAGAGATGTTGGCTCAGACAGGTGGCCTCTCCTGGGGACTGGCTTTTTGACTTGCTTCCATCTGTACATATAAATGTGCCCAAAGGAAATTCAGGCAACCAGTTAGGGCAGAAGATAGGTGGGAGAGGATGTGTCCACTGGCAGTATACCTGGTATTTGTTTTGTTCTGAGTTTGGGTTTTGCTTTGTTAAGAGTAACAATTCTTTAACAGTTGACTCCAGGATAGTTTTTGCGTCGACACCAAGTTTGCAGAGATGCTTAAGAGCATCACTTAAGAGCATGCTCACTGCTGCAGTATTTCAGTCGCGTGACCTGCAGGGTGTGCAGCAGGCTCTGCACTTTCCCAGCTGCCCTCCCACGGGCTCTGATGGCACCCGAAATAGTCCAGCTACTGGCTCTTCTCAGCGAGAGCTGCCTCTCTGAGTGTGCAGTGAGGGCTAGTGGACAAGAGGCAGGGAAGCTGGGCTTCTGGTTTTGCGGAGACTTAGGTGACGAGCAGAGAAGGCTGTCTCAGGACTGCGTTCATGGACATGTTTCTGATGGGAGCTGTCCCAGTGAATTGCAGTGAGTGTCTGGTCACCAGCGGTGACCATGTATAGATCTCCTATCTTTTGGTAGCAGTTTTCACTCCTTTTCAAGACGGGTTTCTTTAGTTTGTGATCAGTGATAATATAACCTAGCAAGTGAAAGTCCTCAGAATCATCACTGCTATCGGAACCACCTCTACAGCCTGCATTTCCCGTGAGCTTGAGCTTCCCCTCTCAGAAGATAGTGCTAACTTCCCACGGTGACTCAGACCCAAACCCTGAGGTTTCTAAATGGAGCAGTTAGTCAGCCATGGGTGCTTTAAGGCTGGTTCCAGCACAGCACAGGAAAGTACACAGGAAAAAGCAAAATGGAAGCATAGGATTTATGATGCTTCCAGGGGCTGGAGAGGGAGGCATGGTCCTGTTTAGGGGTCATGGAAGCAGAGCATCTGGGAGTGGGGACCCACAGGCAGGTGTCACTCTGGGATCAGGACAGAGTGTGTGAGTGAAGAGTGAGGGGCTCTTTGTTGCTAGCTCACAGAGGGCGAGAAGGGGAACTCCGGCAAGGCCAGCTAGCCCATCACGCTCTGGTCCTGGCGCAGGTGCTGCAGACTGGTGAAGGAGTCGGCGCGTTCTGAGGTCTTTCCAGTCCACAGCGCGGCGCCATCTTGACTCCTGTGTTCCGCACCCACCTCCGTCAGGCGGCATCTGAGCTCGCTTAGCTCACAGCGCCTGTTGGAGCGCCCATCACCGGTGCCACTCCCCACACTGTGTGATCGTGGATGCCTCCTTACCCGCTTTCTCTCTGGCCCCCATTTTGTTTTCCAAAATTAAATCATGTCGGCTTTCTGCTCAAACTTCCGTTGACATCCCTCCTTGCTCAGGGGCAGTCAGGTGTTCGCAGTGGCCTGCGAGTCTACAGACGCTGACGTGCCCCTGGCACCTTCTATGTTTCTGGACACAGCGTGTGCCTCATGGCCTTTGCACTGGCCGCCGTCCTCCTGCACCCTCCCACCCCTGCCGGATCCCTCGCGGTGCAGCTGAGCCTCAGGTCTCTACCCGCCCCACCCCTGTGGCCAGTGGCCAGCCCCGAGAGTGCCAGCTTCGCACCACCCCACCCATGGCTTTATCATTACTGCCTGTGTTATAGTTAGTTGTATATTTATGCATTGTTCTCCCTCCAGAGTATGTTTCCTAGTGTAGCAGCCTCAGGTTTTTTAACTGCACCCCTGGGCCTTTAACCTCCCTGGGCACAGAGTAAGGCACTTGCTGTTGTGTGAGTGACTCAGAATTAAATGTAATCAGTGAAACTAACATTTGGACATCTGCCAGTAATTTCTTTTTTAACCAGCATAGCATACTCTCATTCTAAATTTAGTAAACTTGGTGATTTGTTTTCCATAATGGTTGGCTTTCTGAATAAAAATAGATATTAGCTGAGAACTTCTTTCTGGGACAGATTAATTTTATGGCTGTAGTAAGAAATAAAAGATGGCTTTAAAAAACACACTTGTTTGGCAAGTGTGTGTGATTCTGCCCTAATTGATCATCAGTGGAAGAGCGTGTGTCTATATGTAGGGCTTATTTTTAAATCTTGCATTTCATGGAAGGAGCCAGGCTCGTGCATATTTTGAGAACTGTGTGCAATTAACAAGGCCTTTGTAATGAAACCGTAAGTAGCCAATTTAGTATTTATTAAATACATTCTGCATAAAGGTGGTACATTACTTGGTAGAAATCAACATAGGCACCATACTGAGGGTCTGAAGTTTAGTAGAAGGAAACAGTGGTAACAATGAAGCAAAAGGTCAGAGAGGTAAGGACACCTGGTGTGTTGCAGCAGCAGCAGTAGCAGTTCTCTGTATTTGGCGCATGGGGCTCCGGAAGTGTCTGTCCGGAGAGTGTGAGGCAGACTCCTGAGCAGAGGGTGAGGTCAGCGCAATCCGAAGGGTGATGTAGAGGCCGCCACCAGCGCTGCAGAGTATCGTGGTGCACGGATGCTGAGAGGGCAGCGGCTGGGGTGACCCAGCAGGAGAGTAGGGTGGGTGCAGCAAGAACGCAGTCAGCGCGGCTTCTAGCTTTCTGCTTAAAGAATAGTGAACTCATTAGTCAAGATGAAGGAACATACTGGAGAAGAAAAGAGCAGGTTTTGTGCAAAATAAACTAATTTCTGGACATGCTGAGTTTGAGGCCTCTGTGGGCAGCACTGTGCTGGTCCGCGCTCACTGATTGGCTCTCGGAACAGAGGTGGGCACACATCGCGCAGAAGTGTGTGCCCGGGATTACAGGGTGATGTTGAGTGTCATTGTAGCTACAGACGCTGCTGTGCTTGTGGGGCGCACTCAGTGCCTGTGCCCTGTGCATCTGGTTGCAGTCGCCAGAGGGTTGCTCCGGTGTCGTCCTCTCTAAATTCAGGTGCAGTACTGAAGTGCCAAGGCCTGTGAGGGCCTCTCTCTTTGCGAAGCACCAGGCAATGGGTTTTAGCAGTGAGGAAGTATTTCCTCTTTTGGACCATTCACGATGGAGTAACTGCAGATATCACACTTCTAAAGTATAATCTCCATCATTAACAAGTTCTCCATCACTAGACAATCAAGTAAACAATAAAGCAAGCCATTATCGGTAGTGTTTGCCATTTTCCAGTGTAAATATCCCCATGTGAGCAATTTCAGATAATGATGTGCTCTCTCCGGGTCCAGAGAGTTAATAAGGTAGTGCGGGAGCACAGCACGGTAACCCCCACACAGATTTAAGTTAAATAACCGAAAGAGTAGAGGTGATCATGAAATAATTAAGAAAATTTGAATCTGAGTATTTCCTTTGACTTTAATACAATGTATTTAATTGTCATCTTATGTAATTTAATTTTTAATGAAGCTTGTGCTTAACTAGCTCATAAAATTTAGTAACTGGCTCTCACAAATCACTAGGTCTCTTCTGTTTCGCACTCAACCATTCGTAGATCATTTAGGTAAAAATGCCCAATGACTTTACAGATCTTTTACTTAGAAGATGGGTCCATATTAGAGGTGCTAACTCAGTAACCATTCCCATGTTGGTTGAGGCCTTGGGAACAGATACTGCCCAGGGGAGCCATTGAGAAGCATGAGAAAAGATTCATGGGCAAGGCCTGGGTGACACTGATGCTCACTGGACCTGGGAAGACCAGCCAGTGATGTGGGCAGGGGTTGGCCATGCAGGGAGGGCACCACACTGCAGGGGCAGAGAGAAGTGGATGGGGGCTGAAGTGTCCGTTCAAGGCGGTGAGCAGTGACAGTGGGGTGGCCTCCGGGGAGGTGGAGGGTAGTGAAGCCACAGTTTGTTTTATAGAATGCATGGGAAGTGAGAGAGCAGAGGCTGCAGTTTCAGCCTCCAGTGGAGTCGGACTTCATTGGAGGGCAAGAGTGGGCCAAAATCACGCCGGGGGCCCTCATTTTTGCGTGTGGGGCTAATAGGCAATCTGAGAAACAAAGTGGAGGCCCTGCGTGGTGTCCCTGCGTGGTGGCTGAAAGACTGATCCTGCACACCTGACATAGGGAGCAGGTACAGGCGATTGCGGCTGGCGGGGTCCCGGGGTCTGGGCATGAGTGACCTTTCTCATTCACTGGGCCTGCTTGTCTCCGGAGCACGCAGCAAGGCTCTGCCCATGACTCGTGGCAGTCAGCAGCTTTTGGTTTGCTTCCCACTGGCGCCAGACAGGAAGAGTGAGGGCAACATTAGCCAGTATTTGCGTCTCAGAGGAAAGCCCCACAAAGGGTGTGAGGGCGGGCAGGCGCTTCTGGGGCCAGTCATGGTGCTAACGCCAGGCCTCCCTCAGCGTGCTTGTGAAGTTCATCATAGGTGCCCGTGGCTGCGACGTGCCCGTGGAGGACCGGGAAGACCCTTACTCCTGCAGACTGCGCAACATCTCCAGCCCAGGTGAGTCTCGCCCTGCAGCCCCAGCACACCGAGCCTCCACCATACCTGCCCCTCCTTATGACAGCTGAGATGCTTGTGAAGATTCTTTGTAGATCGATGTAACTTCAGGGTCTAGTCGAGTTTATGTTTCAGTGATTCAGGCGCCTCTGGCTTCCTTTTGCATAGATAAATCCTAAATTACTAAGTCTTAGATTTGAGGAAGGTGGTTTCACTGGCAGCTGGTTTATAATAGCTCTGATGTAAGAAGAGTAAGTCGCATTTACTCTTAGACTATTGCCTGAACCTCTGCAGAACTAAACATAGAAAAGTCAGCACGGCGCTTCTTACTCCTTCCAAAGGTTTGAGTATTCTGAAGAGCAGGAAGGAGAGTGGCCATGGCTAGGTTCCCTGCGCTATGCAGGGGCTGACCTTGGGCAGCTGGCGCCTCACCGCCGTCTGTCCGCTTGCTAGCCTTTCCTGTTAGGGTCCACTTTGGCTGTAAGGGAGACGAGACTTTTCCAAATCTTAACTGTGCTGACAGGGCTTTCAGGTGTGTGAAGCCGCTGTAATATGCACGCCACCTGGTGCAGGCCGTTGCTGAGGCGATTTCGGGGGCTGTGGCGGCAGGCTCGTGACGAAACCCAGGCTCTGCTGTTTCTAGCTGTGGCGCCTCTGTTAACTTGGCCTCTGCCTCAGTTTCCTCATTTGTAAACGGGAAACCCAGGCTCTGCTGTTTCTAGCTGTGGCGTCTCTATTAACTTGGACTCTGCCTCAGTTTACTCATTTGTAAACGGGGATAAAAGTATTTATCTTGGGGATCAAAATGAGGATGAAATATATTAGCACATACAAAATAGTGTAATTCCTGGAATGTGGTAGGTGATTTGATCATTTTAAAGACCCTGCTTTTTTATAGTTGGGTTTCTATCATTTTTTAATGAATTAGAACATATTCTCAAGTCTCTAATGCAGAATAGTTTCTTTTCTAGGGTGTCTGTGAATCTAGTTACTATTGTCAGCAAAATTTTGTGTGTAATTGTGTTTTTGTTGGGAGAGAGTTCTTTTCCCTGGTGTCTCAAAAGGGCCATGAGCCTAATAACATGTATTGCTGATGACGGAAGAGCAGTCTAGAACAAATAAGGTTTGGAATCTGAAGCCAAGCCAGTTTTAAAAAAAATCTCACCATTAAATTAGCCAGACTTTTTTCTATGTTAAGTGCTGTTGTTCATGAATAGTAAAGGAGTGGAAATTTCCATTAATAAAGAAAACTTCGATATATATAATTTCTAGGTTAGGATTTTTTAATAATATTAAATCAATCTTAAACAAAATTTTATCTTTTTGATCATTCAAATAGCATTTAGTTGTATGATAATTTCTGTAGAAACTTCGATTAATAGCACTTTAAAGCTGCAGGATTTCCTATATCCAGGTGTCTTGGAGTTTAGAGTACATATGTTTTTATAGAAATGTGTAGTTGATATGTTTAATATTTAATAGGGACACTTTTACCTTGAATCTCTTAATTACTGAGTATACTAAAGAGAAAATTTTCATTCAGTAAATTTGGACTCCTGGTTCTCTGACCACTTTTTGTCTGTGCCCTCCCTCCTGCTCATGTTATTATTTGGTAGAAGCCATCAGTTTTGTGTAGCTACATATTATTGAGCATCTACTAAGTGTGAAGTAGTATCCTAGGAAGCCTGAGGTAGAGAGCCAGATGATCTGCTGGGTTGTGAAAATAGAATTTATATGTACCCCAAATATGACCTGGTCTTTAACCTGACTGCACTGACCGCCAGCAGTGACATGTATTCAGTAAGCAAAGGTAAGGCTGTTTGTATGTGCTCTTGGATGGTGGTGCCCCCAGCCCTGAGCGAGACGAGGGCTCTGATCTTTTGGAAGAGTTTTTTGTGTTTCTTCTCAAAGTGGCACTGACATGCTTGGCCATATGAGCTGCTTCATGAAATCTCCCCTGGTTCACTATGGTAGCAGAAAATGTATTGAAAGGAGTCTTACTTTTATTGCTGAGAGTGTGGGAGGAGCGCTAAACCTGCAGTCATTAACTGGGCTTGGTTCTTGGCTGTAGCATTCTGTGATCTTGAGCACATTCCTTGCTACTCCTGCACTTCAGTTTTTAACTGGAGCTAATAGCACAACCATTGGGATAATCGTAAAAATGTCACATGATGAGACGGAGCAAAATGTTGAATGTCATTGAATGTCATTCAACATTTTGCTCCATGTCAACTGGGCTTTTTTTCCCCATCAACACTTAATAAAAATGTCTTGAGCAAAATGTCAGTTTGCTAAATTAGTTTCCAGGAACTGACTGTGGATTTAAGCAGTATGTGCTTAGTACATTTAATGTGTGTGGTGTGCTTAGCTGATCTCAATATTGAATGTGAAGTGTTTTGGTATTATTTGAAATTATGTCATTTACTTATATTATGATAATTGCTTGACATCACAAGCATTTTAAATTGCCTCAACAAGAAATAGGAATTTTGGAATACGTAGAACAAGACTAAGTTTCTTAATTTGGCTGTTTTGTATACCTTATTTCTCAGCCCTTTCCTAGTAGACACCTTTGAATTCACTATTCCTAGTGGCATTTATACCTACATGTGCACACATGTGTCTGTAGAAGTCTGTTAACATTGGTCGAGCAATTAAATATTTCACTTAAAGGTGGCTGGAGACTTAAATTTCAAATAAATTTCTTCCTGGAGCAGCTGTACTTCAGAAATATTTTCTAAATCAATGCCCTTTGTGAAAGAATTATATAACAAATGTAGCACGATTTTGCTGTCAACCTGTTTCACTACTTCACAGTAAAATGAAGTCATGTAGGCTTGATGATGTGAAACGCCTATCTCATTACTTACTCCCTTAGCTTTGAATCAGGAGATCGAGGCGTTCAGTCTTCCTGAAGATGCCTCCGCCGGGCGCTCTGAGGACCGTGTCGTCAGCCTGAGCTTCCGAGTTCTCCACCCGATTGTCATTACCAGTCTGGGGGTGTTTGATGATGCCAGCGATGGGAGTTTCCAGAGGAACATCACTGTCAAGCTTTATCAGGCAGAGCAGGAGGTAGATATTGCTCCGTACAAGGCCTTTCCCTTTTTTCTAGAAAACGACTAGGTTTTCCTTTATGGTAAATTAGTAAGTGGGGAGGCTGCATAATTCTTCTACCATTCTATTCTTACTGATATGGATTCATTGTAATATGGTATATTATAATGCTGGCTTGGGAGAAAATGCCAATAAATCAATGTGTTATATCTAGAAAAAGAGTTAGGCCAGATTGGAATTCCAGTTTGGAATCCCCTAAAGACTAAGGCATTTCAAAAGTTGATAAAGGGCGTTAGGGAGTTGAGGCTTTTAGGTATAAGCAATTACTGTTTCTTTCCAATTCTGAGCCTTTTGCTGTACTACAGGGCGGACACAACGCTTGAATCTTTTTGTACTAAGGATTAAGAGGGAAAGAAAGTTTGGAGAAACTGGAGTTACACTCTTTCTGATATTTGGGGTAGTCTGATTGGTTCACAGTATCTGCAGCAGTGTAACAAGAAAACATGTGAAAAATTCCATTTCTGGGTTTTAAACTGCAGAAGCTTGAAAGAAGAATACAGCGAACACCCACGTATATGTCCAGCTACATTCTGTGTAGTTAGTATTTTGCTGTCCTTGCGTTATCACACTCTCATTCCTCAATCTTCCTTTTCGGATTTATTTTGGAGTAGGTTGCAGATACTTCAGTGTGCATATCTTTAACTAGACTTCCATGCTTGCTTGTGTTTAGTTTAGTCAGTGAGATAATGCACCTTGTCAGGCTCTGAAGCTGCCAAGCCTAGTTGCCCCCATTCTCCTTACCCCATTCCCTCAAGGCAGCCGCTGTTCTTACTTATTTACGTTATCATAGATACGTTATCATAGACTAGTTTTCCTTCTGTGGGCTTCAGTTATAAATAAAATCACATAGTAAATACTTTAATAATGTTTTTTTAAACTCATTCATATTGTATGTAACAGTAAATCTTTCCTTTTCCTTCTTTTAATTGCTAAGTTGTCACCCATGACATGGTTTCATCTGTGCTCACATTGATGTGCATCTGTAAGGTCTGGGATGTTTCAAGGTTTTTCTCCTTTGTTCTGACAGAGTGACGAATTGTATTTATTAGGTTTGGGCTGTTAAACCTCTGTCCTCTGGCTCTTGGTCGCCTATGTCTGGATATGTTGTCCCTTGTAGCCCGCGCTTGTAGCCCGCGCTTGTAGCCAGTGTGTTCTCGGGCCTCATTTCCTGTCTTGTATGAGAATCGCTGCTTTCCGGGGACTGTTTAGTCCATTTACATTTAATGCAGCTATTGAAGTGGGTGAATGTCATCCTTTTGGTTTGCTGCTCTACTATTACTTTTTCATTTCTTCCTTTTGCCTTCTTTTGCATTAATTGAATATTTTGGAATTCCATTTTAATTTCTCTATTGCCCCATTCCGCTCCAGTTCTTTGTACTGTTCTGTGTGTGTGGCTCACAGATGGGTTACAGTGCACACCCTAATCCTTTTTTTTTTAAAGATTTATTTATTTATTCATACAGAACTGGGGTACAGGCCAGAGGCTCAGGGGCGGTGAGAGGCTTCACCAGAGACAGAGT